AAAGAGAGAGAGAGAGAGAGAAAGCACAGAGTTTATTTCGCATGAGCGAAAGCCTGGTATGGATAGAAAAGTGAAAAAGAGTAATACATATATGAGGTATTAAAAAAAAGTAGAGAACTAACGGAGTGACAATGCAACATATGTATGTAATGAAGAACGTATTATTATAAAATGAAGTAAAAGAGAAAAAGAAAAAGAAAAAGAAAAAGAAATAGATAAAAAGAGACAGAGAGAGAAGGAGGAAAGGAATAAAAAAAACGACAAAGAGAGAAAGAGAGAGAGAGAGAGAGAGAGAGAGAGGGAGGGAGTGAGAGGACAAAAGTAAAACGAAAATGAAAACGAAAATGAAAATGAAAATGGGAAATTGTGATCGACGTCGAAAAATTCAAAGGAAGTTTCATAAATCGACTCTCACTGTTGTTATTATTGCTTTCTCGGTGTGTGTGTGTGTGTGTGTGTGTGTGTGTGTGTGCGTGTGTGTGTGCGTGTGTGTGTGCGTGCGTGCGTGCGTGTGTATTCGATCGAAGAAAAAAAGAAAAACAAAACAAAAAGGAAGAAGAAGAGAAAAAAAAGACAGCTAAATGATATAGAGATTAAGTAAAAAAATAGGAACAAATAGGATCGCGTCGAGTTGATGAAATTGAAATTTTCGAGAATCGATCGATCGATCGATCATCCGAATCGATCCATCGAAGGCACTGTGGTGTAGAACGCGTTGGGCCGCATTCGATCGTAACGGGGAAAGGTAGAGAATAGACGTCGTAGAGTAGGCTTTTGCCCCGATTTCTATTAGAGAATTTTAAACGGCGCAATGGCCGATCGATGTGACGTCATTAATATTTTCAATCCGTTACGGAAACATGAGTTATTAGTAATATCAGACGGTACGCGGGCGCGATTCTTTTCGTTGTAAACTATGTACGTATATGCGCGATCGATTGGTGGAAAACGAATGCGATTTTTAGATTAACAGAGGCCGCGTAATTCCGCGTTAGCTGGAGGTAATAAAGGTTGGGGTGGAGGCAACTAGAAGGGAAAAGAGAGACGGGGGGAGAGAGGGAGAGAGAGAGAGAGAAAGAGGGTGGGTGGGTAGCGGTGACGGGGGAGCTGATGAGGGTAAAATGGGAGGGGCACGGGGAAGTAGATTCGAATCGAAAATTCAAAGGATATACGCGCGGGGCACGGTTATATGTGCGATGCACCGCGCTCGCCGCGCTCGCGCTTTTCTCCGTGCTTTAACACGGTGAAAGAAGGAAAAAAAAGGAAACACAAAACAAAAAAAAACCCAGCGAGAAGACAAAAAAAAAAAAAAAAAGAAAAAAGAAAAAAAAAGAAAAATAGAGGAAAAAAAATGAAAGAAAGAAAACGCAGGATTTTATTAAAAAGTCTTATTCCCAGTCGAAATAAGTGATCGATTTTGCATGTAATGTAACCCTATATATTATCTTCCGACGGTGTATGAGGGTGCCTTGAGATTTTCAATTGAATGCGTCACAGGACGTCCTTCTGGGCTTGGTGCACGTTCTCCCTTGCCTCTGGCCCACGGATGAACAACTATTGACTAGCCGTTCGACAACGATATTTTCTATCAATTATTTAACGTAACCGATCGAACGAAATTTTTCTATTGTCGTCGATAACCAACTCGGACGAGTTTATTCAGAGAAAAATTTTTATTTCTATTATCCGATATCACGATGAAAATATATATTTTCCCGTAAAATCGTGGACAGGAATTTTGCCGATAGTACGGACAAACATCGCCGTTGGAAGATGTTTTGTCCATACTGGCGTAGCCTCTCTCGTGATATGGGCCGCCATCTTGCGGGACTTTCGGCAAGAACTCGATGGCATAGCTTGCGCGTCATCGTCCCAATGATGTCTGCACGATGATCTCGTCCGGTTCGGCTCGATTGGGACTTGAAATTTTCTTTTTTACGTAGCAGGGCGGGGCATCACTTTCGCCGCGGACCGAATACGTATGGTATATTAGGATTAAAGTGGATCTCGCGTTGTGCCTCGTTCCCACAATAAAGGGAATGTCGCGATATTAAAGCCCGTAAAAGCTACGGAACCCGTATCTCTCTCTCTCTCTCTCTCTCTCTCTCTCTCTCTGTCTTTTTCTTTGCTATTCCTTTTCTTGTCTTCTTCAAGAGATTCGTTACTGCGTTCGTCCAACCCAGACGGAACCAAACACCAAAATCCTTTCGCCTTATGTTATCTACCCTTTCTCTCTTTCTCTCTCTCTCTCTCTCTCTCTCTCTCTTTCTTCTTCTACCGGTCTTCCAACGACGATCTCTTCTTCCTCTCCTAACAAGTCCATCCGGTATCACCATCTGCCTGACTCCATCAAGTAGAACTCTACTTCTTTGGCCCGTTCGATTACTATTCGACGCCTTGAAAAAACTTACGACGACGTTCTCAAATGATTCCCTTCTTTTTATTTTCGAACGAGAAAGAAAAAGATAAAGAGAGGGAAAGAACAAGAGAGAGCTCGAAATCGATCGATCGTGTCCTGCCTCTCTTTAGACCAACTCCAATCGGAATGGTTCCAACGACACACGAATCCGTTAAAAACGATATCAAACGATCGTTTCTTCCTTAAAATTGTCTACGTTTTTAACGCTTTTTCTTCTATTAGAATACGAATATCTCGACTCTAGCCGAACTATATCTTCGTTTAAGTCGGACCTTGTAAAAGATCATCTCTTATTGCCTACGAGCTAAAGGAAAAGAATATAAAAGGGAAAGAAAGGGTCCCGTCGAGGGAAAAGGTCCAACGCAACTCTGACAACAAGAACGACAACGACGACGACGACGACGACGACGACGACGACGACGACGACTGTGACAAACACGTGGACAGATTTATAGTTATGTAGTTCTTTTTCTCTGTCTCCGTTTCTGTCTCCTCAATCTCTCTCTCTCTCTCTCTCTCCCTCCCTCCCTCCTTTTTTCTTTTCTTTTTTTCTGTTTTCCTTTTCCTCTCCTCTTTTTTTTCTTTTTCATGCACCACGCGAGATCGGGTCGTGCGCGCTTTGAAAACGTTTAACGAAGAGTGGCAAGTGTCAGTCAAAGGGTGAGAGGGAGGAAGGGATGGAGGGAGGGAAGTAGGGAGGGAGGAAGGACGGGGGTGTATATACGGAATCGACGATTGGCTTACATGCCACCTGTAGCACCGCGGGAATGTGGTCGGACTCTCTGGGCCGCCACCTCCACCTCCACCTCCACCTCTACGGCACCACCAGCAGCAGCAGCAGCACCACCACCACCACCACCACCACCACTACTACTACCACCAAGAGCAGCACCAGCAGCAGCAGCAGCAACAGCAGCAGCAGCAGCAGCAGCAGCGGTAGCAGCAGTTCCACGCGATATCGCTTAGAGAGCTCCGGTAGAAGGGATTCATCAATAAAGTTTACTATTTTTCCGATATCGTTTTTCCAATTCTATAAATCGTCGTAGCGGAGAGTTCGTACATACGCGAGGCGCACACCGGCGAAAGAGCCCCGTTATGAATGGCCCACGTCGGTTGACGTTAATCTGCCACTTCATCTCTCTCATCCAGGCTCCGCGCGTTGTATTGCGCCAATCTCCCTTCTTCCCTCTTCGCTTCGCCTTCCTCCTCTATCTCCTCCTCCTCCTCCTCCTCCTCCTCCTCCTCCTCCTCCTCCTCCTCCTCCTGCTCTTCATCCTCATCCTCTACCTCTATCTCCTCTTCCTCCCACGCAACCGACTAACCACCCTTCCCTCACCCCTTAGCAAGCCATCCTCCTAACCAATTGTTTTGTCGGGAGGGTGCTGCGCGGCAAGGGAGGAAACTGTAGGTGGAGAAAAAAAAGGAAGAGTCACGCGAGAGACCCATACAGAATGAGAGAGAGAGAGAAAGAGAGAGTCACACACATAGAAACGTAGAGAGAAAAAAAATGCCTTCGACACACGAGCATCGCGTAACGCGCGTTCTACGCGCCGCGACCACCGAATTAAATCGACGTCGTGACGCTCGTTTTGGATATCCGCTTGACCTCGAAAAAAAAGCTCTACGCCGCCGACCTTTATGACATCCTTGATCGCATCGATCCGGATAAATCGCTTTCGCTCGCCTTTTTCTTTCTCTATTTTTTTTCCTTCTTTTTTCTTTTTCCCCCCTGCTTTTTTTTTGTCGTTCGTTTCCTTCCTTTTTCCTTCCTTCCTTTTCTGTTTTTTTCCCTTCTCTCTCTCCATTTTCGTTTTTTTTTTCGTTTTTTCTTTCTTTTTTTTTTTCTCTTTTTTTCTTTTTTTTTTCTTTTTTTTTATTCTCTCGCCCGCGCTCACTATTTCCCGCCGCGCGCGGGATCGTTTAAACGTCATTTTTATTTCCCTCCACTCTCCTCTATCCTTCCTTTTTTGCTCGTTACTTTTTATTTATTTCTTTATTCTTCAACGCTGCCCGCGATAATATCTGATTTATTCCCCTTTTCTTTTCGGATATTAATCTTTAGCAATAATGAGCTCTTATAAATATAAATATATACGCATATATACATATATATACATACATACATAATATGTATATATATATATGTGTGTGTGTGTGTGTGTGTGTATACATAAACATATTTTGTATAAATAAATACATATATTACTTTTCAAACTCTTTTCTTTTTCTCTTTATTTATTTAAAAACAAAAATGTCAAATTAACAATAACTGACAAATATCTACACAGAGCAATAGATTATTTACAGTACTCTTTGTTTGCATTCGCTCGCATTAATTATAATTATTAACGCTTATAATAATACAAATATATATCTGTATATCTACACGGTGATTTTTACCATCTTCCAGGATAATTAACCTGTTAATAATTTTACAATGTCGTAAGTAGTAATTTAAGGCGACGATTTGATATATATATATATATATTAAAAATTGACTTTCTTTTTTTCTTCTGTTTTACCCTGAAGAGTCAATTTGTGCGATATATCAGTCTAACGACTCTGTACTTTTATTTTTCTTTTTTTTTTTTTCTAATGTTACGTGTTCTCTCGGGTTTTTATTTTTTTATCTATGTAATATAGCAGAAGCACCAATTGAAAAAGTTAATTATTAGGACGGCGCTGTTACATTTTTTATTATAATATCTGTGTTTCATAATATTTATTACATTCTAATTGGTCCTATAATATAATATTTTAGCTCCAATACGAATATATGCACTATATATACGAAATATATTTTGAAAACATTTCATCATTTATTCTCTCAGACCTTTGTGATGACATAAAATTGATAGAAAAATTAGATTTTTTTAGTTTTTCCTTTTTTCATTTCTTTTTGCTTTTTTTTGTTTTGTTTTTTTTTTTTTTTTTTTTTTTTTTTTTTTTTTTTTTTTTTTTTTTTTTTTTTTTTGTTAAAACTCTCGCATGCAAAATCTGCTTTGAAATAGTATATATACGAATAAATGTTAAATATACGTAAAAGCTGCTCTACAATTGGAATGTTACTTTAAATGATTATTTTTCTTTTCCTTTTTTTTTTCGTCTTTTTTTTCTTTTTTCTTTTTTTTTCTTTCTATTTCTCTTTAAATACACACATATCGATCTAATTGATTTCTTTTATTATATTACAGATAAATTAAAGTTACTCAGTAAATGTGACTCAACGAGACGTGATATCATTTTTATTTAATAGATTTTCATTTAAGTTAATACTCAAAAGGAACATAATCAAGCAATCAACAACAATAACAATAACAAAATATTTATCTATTGTATCATCTAAATATTTTTACACGTATTTATCGTTATTTTACACAAGTAAAATTCTCTTATCTATTATAATAATTTATATTCGAATGATTTTAATAATGATATCCTACGACGAAGGGTTTTCTCTGTCTTTAGTTATATCTTTTTTCAAGTTAAGCATTCCAAAAAATTATTTCTATCTACAACCATATTACCTCTTATATACCTATATACCTATATACCTATATATTGGAATACTTTAGGATAAAAAAATAATATACACAATTGAGCGATTTATCAGTTAACGACAGAAATATATCCCTACAAAATCTATATGGAAAAATACTCTTTATCGATGTGTATTAAAAGATGATATATTACATATGACTGACGGAGGCGCACGAACGTTTTTCAAATGTATTATATATATATATATATATATACATACATATACATATACATATACATATACATATACATATATATATATATATATATCTTATCGGTTAACTATAAAAACGTGAAAATTTATCATCCTTACAGGAAGGGACGGCACACGATAGATTAGTTAGTTATTTCTAAAAGGGCAAAAAAAAGAAAAAAAAAAAAAAAATAACCACGACTCACATGGATATCCATTGACGATCAATCGATGTTAACTTTCCTCGATCGACATTGTTGGTCTCTCTATGAAAAAAAAAAAAAAAAAGAAAAAAAAAATGAAAGAGAAAAAGAATATTTGTTAATCGCAGCACTATAAATGGCACTTGCTCATTTTACAATTTAAAAATGTCGTTCACATAAAGTATTATATGTTATAAATGAAGCCAAAACTATACCTATATATATATAATCTATGACTAAAAAGGTACTTGCATTGCGTTTCGATAAAGATATCTTATTCTGGGGATGCTCTTGGATCATCAAATACATTCCCCTTTTTTCATTGTGAATAGTTCATTTACGAGTAATTAATTAGTAAATTATTTAAAAATTTGATATGGTTTATAAAAAAAAAAAAAAAAAAATTATATATATATATATATAATCCAATGTTCTACTTTTCTTCCGATTTGTATCTAACACACAATTTGACACATTCTCGTTCTTCTTCGTTTATTATTATCATTCTTTCCAAGATACCGTAATATCACGTAATTCACGGCCTTCGGGAATGTCGACGTTGTTAGCACTATTCACTAATTTCTTCTTACTTTGATAATTTTTTTCATCGAAACAAGCAACTTGCTCGTTACCAATGAAATCACTTTTAACTCGTTTCGATGATGTTTTTCTATCCAAACGAAACAAGCGACATTGATATATCAAGATTAGAATGGCAGTGATCGTTCCTATAAATAAACCGGCCAAAACGTCCCACCAATGGTGTCTGTTGTCTGCTATTCTACTTAAGGAACATATTACTGCCCACATTGATATCAATAATTGAAGCCATGGCTTAACGAGTAACGTTTTGTTCGTCATGCGTTCTTGCAGATAACTCTGTAAATACAATCAATTATTAACTTATTAAGAATAAATATATTTTGTTTCTTTTTCCTATCCTTTTTTGTTTTCTTTTTTTTTTTTTCTTTATCTATAATATAATCATCGAAATACTTACCGCAATAAAAATCGATGTGAACACAGAAAGAGCCGAGTGAGACGATGGAAATGATTTACTAGAATCTGTTATGAACCAATCCGAATCAATCGAATTCGTGCAAGTATACGACTTGATATATCTGCGCACATAATAAAAAATTTTTTTAAATATTATTTAATTTTCACTTATATATATATATATATATATATAAATTCAATCTGCCGAAACAAATAAATAGAACCTACGGTCGATACGAGAAAAAAATTTACTTCGTTTGATCGGTCGATAAGTGCAATTGCAAAATAATTCATATTTCATTCATTGCATAATATTTAAACCAAATATATATATATACACAAATACACATATATATATATATATACATATAATATATTCCAATATCCAAGATCGAAACGCCTTCTATCAAAATCGAGTAAAACTCGATTTGTCGGTAATTGCAGATTTATGTAATTGCCGATATTTACAGATTTCTACATAACCGATTGCATTTAAAAAAAAAAAAAGGAAAAAAAAATTCAATGATTTTTTCTATGATTCCCTATAATAAAAAGATGTCGAAAAGATGTCGAAAAAATGTCGAAAAGATGTCGAAAAAATGTCGAAAAGATTTCGAAATATGTCGAAAAGATGTCGAAAAGATGTCGTAAAGATGTCGTAAAAATGTCGAAAAAATTTCGAATATATCGTAAATATAATATCATGAAAAAATAATTATGTATGTGTGTGTATATATAAATATATATATATATATATATATATATATATATATATACATACATAGATATATGTATATATGTACATAAATATTCATACTCATTAGTGCAATTTCGAGCTTCTAAAGGTTGACACGTATCAAAGAAATGTGGCCTTGGTTCTCCAATGATAATTTTCATAATGTTACATCCAACAGCCAGTGTGACACTCCCTATTGTATAATGGCCATACCAAATCCAAACTTGTTTTAATCTTGACTTATTAGATTCCGTTTCTTTATCGTAATTATTTCTTGTTTGGCATGTGTATTCTGTGATCCACATCTAAAAAGAAATATTTAAATAATCAATGACACAAACAATTAGAACCATAAATGATATCATAAGAAATGATTATACGCATGAACAAAATAAAATGAGAAAACGTTTAAATATTTCCAATGACGTCATTGAGGAGAGAGAAAAAAAAGAGGAAAAAAGGAAAAAAGAATTTCCCCATATATATATATACTTACTACAAAAATCGGCAGAAAAGCGGTGACACTGAGTAAGACAATAACGGATATGGTATCTCCCCTAAATTTAAAGGAAAGTTTTGGATCATTGCAGAAAAAGCCAATTTGATTGTGCGGAACATTTCCAAATTCCAATAATCCCATAAGCACCATCACTGAAAGAGGAAAAAAATAATTGTATTCATAAAATTACAACTGAAGATATATCGATAAGCGTCAAAAATATTCTCGAGGAAAAAATAATGATCCTGGCAATGAACGAAAATACATTAATAAATACATAGGATATAATTTGCGTCACTTGTCCTCGAGATAAAGTTTCTTTCCTCAAGATAAAAGTCCACTCTAATGAGAATCCTTTACGACGGATGATTAACCAATATTTTCTTTTCAATTATTCTTCTTTTATCGTTTTTTCTTTTTTTTTTTGCTTTTTTGCTTTTTTTTCTGCTTTTTTTTTTTTTTTTTTTTTTTTTTTTTTTTTTTTTTTTTTTTTTTTTTTTTTTGGATCGCGATTAAATCTACCTGAACGAAAATTTCATTTTCTCTTCATCATTCGATAACATTATAATACAGATATCAATGAAATTATTAAATAAGATTATTGATTATAAAAAAAAAAAAAAAACTATGTATGAAGTATTACATAAAAAAGAAAATTATTAAATATATTAAATCAATTATGTATGATCATTCAAACATTCGTTTAAACAACGAAGAAGTTATCGTGTAATATAAAGGAGTCATGCAAAAATTAGAATGAATAATAATTGGCATTAAGTCTTAATAGAAGTATAGACTTTTCTATGTGTCGACGTTCATAGTTTATCAATACGATATATGATTATGCAAAAAGAAAATAATAACGTTAATAGAAAAACTAATTTGTGACATTTGAATATATATGCGTGTACTATCGACGAGGAGAGAAGGGGTGTGGGGGGGCGGGGTTTAGATAGGGATGGAATAGAAAGTCAAAAAAGCAAGAACAAAAGCGAAAATAGATAACCTTCCATCTAAAATAATGTGACACTCGAAACATTGATAAGAAATAATTACTGATATTAAATATTTACAAATCATCCTTCTCAATAGCTTTGCTAATAGCTGTTCATAAACATTTAACACGTTCCGTGCCATGTGTACCACCGGTGGTACACGTTAAGCTTGATCTTCAGGCCACTGAAAACATATATAACCTGAACGACAAGTCAGGCAAAAATGACTTGGCACGGAACGTGTTAAAAGAAAAAAGAAAAAAACAAAAAAAAAAACAAAAAAGAAAAGAAAGAATAAAGTTAATAAAAGAAGATGTATAGAAAAATGACGTTAGATGACGTATGAATGCAAATATCGAAGCGACAAAAAAAAAAAAAAAAAAAAGAAAAATGAAAAAAAAAACATAAAAAAAAAAAAGACAAAAACAAACGAACGAACAATTAATAAACGAAAAGAAGAAGAAAATCCATGAGAAAGGATGAATAGAAAGAAAGATGAACAATAAAAAGAAAAAAGTAAAGTAAACAACGACGCGATGTTGAATGAGATAATCATCGTCTTATAGCAACTTACGAAAACTGTACTGATTACGTCGTTGGGATAACAACGTAATTATTTTCTCCCAATTACGAACGATATTGTTTTTCCTTTTTCCTTTGACGTGCATCGAAACGGATACATTTTGCGGTGACATTTTTATTTTATCCAAAAAAAAAGTGACACGTGCTGTGTCACGAACACAGAACGAATGAAAAGAACGGAGACACAAGAACTAAGAGATAGACATAAATAGATACATAGGATAGATATATAGATAAAGAGAAATATATATATATACATATATAGATGTCATGATAGAGAGAAAGAGAGAGAGAGTGAGAGAGAGGCAAAAAAGATAAAGTGAGAAAAAGCACTCATCGCTATCAAGCTATGACCAATCTTATGAAGATACTTTTGAAATACGTAAGCGTGTAATCTGACTTCGCGCATGCGCCTTTATTCGACTAAATACTCACTGTACGAAGGAGTGGGGGAAAAGAAAGAGTGGGGGAAAAGAAAGAGTGGGGGAAGAAAAAGAGAGAGAGAGAAAGCTCACGTGACGCATTACTCTGTAGTAAAAATCCAAACCAATTCTCTCGTACTAACGTTTTCTTTCATTTCCTGAGAGATAGAGATAGATAGATAAATAGATAGATAGATAGATAGATAAATAGAAAGAGAGAGAGAGAGATGAGTGAGAATTAATTTTCCTCACACACTTCATTCCTTCTCTCTATCTTCGAAAAAAAAAAAATCTGTCAATTCAAATCTTCGTCTTCGATTCATTTTCCTCTCTTTGTATTATTTTTTATTTGATTCTTTTTTTCGTTTGTTTTTGTTTTTTCTATTTCTTTCTTTCTTTGGTTTTTTTTCTTTTTTCCTGCTCAATGAAAATGTCAGATATTAAGGTCGACTAGGTGTGACCACGTATATAATACGTACATATGTTGACAAGATAAACATCTAGATACATATATACATATATATATATATATATATATATATATATATATATATATGTGCAAGTTGTGTCAAACTTATTTTGCAAGTATTACATAATTAATAGATAAGAAAAAGCATTAAAGTAAATACAAATATTTGCTTATAAACAATTTCTTTTTAATAATATAACATCTGAATATATTTGCTATTGTTAATGGTTAACAAAGTAATATTGAAAACGGATCTATTCAAGTAATAAACCATATTGTCTCTCTGAGTTGAGTTTATTCTAATGTGAATCAGCTTATTGGAGCCTTATGACTCATAATAGATAGTAGGAGACAATAGGCCCGAACCTAGGCAAACAGTATTATATTATGATATCAATGATATAATCGTATCGTTAAACATATTTGATTTATGGGACAATTAATATTGACTATTATGAAGGATTTCATCAATAATAAATATTTTTATAACGTGATTATAAATAATGTCGTCGTATCGAGAAATTTCAAAGTGATATAAATCAATTATTATTATTATTATTATTATTATTATTATTATTATTATTATTATTATTATTATTATTATTATTATTATTATTATTTATTATTATTATTATTATTATTATTATTATTATTATTATTATTATTATTATTATTATTATTATTATTATTATTATTATTATTATTATTATTATTATTATTATTATTATTATTATTATTATTATTATTATTATTATTATTATTATTATTATTATTATTATTATTATTATTATTATTATTATTATTATTATTATTATTATTATTATTATTATTATTATTATTATTATTATTATTATTATTATTATTATTATTATTATTATTATTATTATTATTATTATTATTATTATTATTATTATTATTATTATTATTATTATTATTATTATTATTATTATTATTATTATTATTATTATTATTATTATTATTATTATTATTATTATTATTATTATTATTATTATTATTATTATTATTATTATTATTATTATTATTATTATTCAAGTGATATAAATTATTATTCAATCAATTGATTGAATAATAATTCTTATTGAATAATTCAATAAAGATTCGTAAGATATTATTTTTTCGTAAGAGATAAAGAGACGAAAAAAAAAAAAAAGAAAGAAAAAAAGCGTCACTTTCATTTTCCACGATTCGTTGATCCAATGATACATTATACGCCTATATATCATTATATGTGAAAGAGAGAGAGAGAGAGAGAGAGAGAGAGAGAGAGAGAGAGAGAGAGAAAGAGAGAGAAAGAGAAAGATGAGAGTAAATTTAATAGTGTTAGCTTGTTGCCTCGAAAATTCTAGACTAAAAGCCATCTGTTGTTCAGTATTGTATTACAGAGTTCGTAGTCATCCAAGTTAAAATTTTTGTTAGCTATTATTGTCATTTTACTATCCTTATAAGCGCGAGAAAGTCTAATTGAAAATATTCATTTATATGTACATGCATACCTACGTGCAACGCATGCATATGTATGTGTATGCATGTATGATGTATATGTTTATGCACGTACGTAGATATGCATTGAAAAGTAATACGAGTAGTTGCATCGATAAATGCAAAATTGTTGTTAGACGATTGGGACGAAAATACGTAAATAGAAAAAAAAAAATATATATATATATATATATATATATATATATGTATATATATTATACTAACCTGTTAATGCTATCAGGATATCAATCAGGAGTGCCCAACGTATCGTATTCTTACAAACGCTCATGATCTTGGGTATCGTTTGTTTATTCTCTACGTTATCCACCTTATCACTTCGCGTTCCTTCTTCCAACGAGGTTGTACTGCACCGTGTCAGCTGCTCCGTGGATCTCTATCAAAAATAATTGTAGAGAAAAAAATTAAATTAAATAAATATTTATTATATATGAATATATATATATATATATATATATATATATATATATATATATGTTTAGCATCTATTTATTTTGGATACATATATCACTTTTTATTATTTATTATTATTTCTGTCTCTCCCTTTCTCTCTCTCTCTCTCTGTCTCTCTTTCTCTCTCTCTCTCTCTCTCTCTTTCATGTTTTACTTCTTTGTTATTTCTATAAATTTTATGGAAATAGAAAAAAAAAAAAAAAAGAAAAAAAAATTAATAACAACAGAAATAAAATCAATACAGGATGACTAAAAAATTTCTAGATGATCGTAAAAATTTGATTAGGCTTCCGTTTAATTGTGGCTTATAGTTTAATAGAATATTCTTACGATTGGACTGTTTGAAAAAGAATAGAATTAATACTCTTTTGTCTGTCCTATATTTTTCGCGAAAGCTTCCTCTTTTTTCTTTTTTTTTTTTTTTCAACCGAATAATGAACACACGAATCTCATTATTAGAACGAACGTTTACTTATCATTAATTTTATTAATTTATCTTATTTAACTTTCGTAACATATATATATATATGTGTACATAAAAAAAAAAAAAAATACAAAAAAAAGAAAAAAGAAGAAAAAAAAAAAAGAAATTTATAAATGTAGTACGTAGAACATCGACACGCGAGAGAAACGTGCGATCGTTGCAACTCGATGCTGCATTAAGGTTAGATCAGCTTTCTACCGCAAAACCGCAAGGGTAATGCGATCGGTCAATTTGTCGAAAGAATTGCGAAGTTATTTTTTTGCTTTTTCTTTTTTTCTCTCTCTTTCTCTATCTTCGGATACCCACAGTGACAGGGAGAAAAATATTTTTTTTTTCTTCTTTTTGATTCGATATACAGACAGACCAAGGTATTCGATACGAGTATCGGTAACATTATCAAATTTATAAAGTACAATTTGAATAAAGTTTGTTGAAGATAATAAAGAAGAAAAAAAAAAAAAAAAGAATTATAAATGTACGTATATGAATAAATTAAAACAGTGGATAGATAAGACTGAATTTAATCTTTTACATTTGTATAATCGATATCTCTTCCAAAAGGTAAATTTCTAAATAACATACACGTAGATATTTAAAGACAAATATTTAAAATTATTCAAATAAAATGAAAGAACAATTATAAAAGTGATACGTGCGAAAAGAAATCTACATTTTTGAAAGAAGACTTTAAAATTCTTTTCTTTAAAAAGTTTTCTTAAAATTTGAATTTTAGAATTTAGATCACGAGATACAATAATATCGTATAAAATTTATATGTATACATACATACATACATACATACATATATATATATATATAAAACTAATTAGTCGATAACTACTCAATAAGGAACGTAAAGTTCGAAGATATTTAAGTACCATTTGTGAGACCGAGAAAGTGTTGCTGATTTGGTAAGACAATGATAATAACAAAAACGACTACAAAAACAAAAATAACATCGACACCAACAACACCAATAATATTAATACTAATAATAACAACAATAATAAATTACTTTTAAAATTTATATCACAAGATATTAAAATTTATATGCAAAAAGTATATCATATAAAATTTATGTATGTATATATATATATATATATATATATATATATATATATATATATATATAATAAGAACCAATTCGTCGATAACTCTAAAACATCATAATGGAAGAATGCAAAATTGTAAGGAATTTTCGCGCGAATTTTTAATTTCGAGAACGTGTTGCTGATTCAGTAAGACAATAATAATAATAATAATAATAATAATAATAATAATAATAATAATAATAATAATAATAATAATAATAATAATAATAAGATGGTGTCTGCTTACGGGTGAAAGAGCAAGCCCTAATTACCGGGTGAAACGTTCGCCGAGCTCGAGATTGTACTGAATGAATCGTACGTTGAAATATGGTGTGCTTGCAGTTCGCGGCTAATACGCTC